CGCTGCTGCCCAGGCTAACCCCTCCCCATGTGCCCTCCCCCTGTGGCTCCCCGTCCTTACCCAGGTGCAGGGTGAGGTTGACGGCGGTGGGGTGCTGCACGCCGGCCAGCATGGTGCGGCTCTGCCACCAGGTCGCGTCGGCCGGGCTGTTGTAGTCGGTGAGGAAGGCGGCGCCATGGCTCAGGTGCGGCTGGGCGGCGTCGCAGAGGTGGCAGGACTGGGTGACGCCGGTGACCCCGGTCTGCACGCAGTACTCCTCGGCCGGCGTCCCGCACGTGTGCGTGGCCAGCACCGTGGCGTTGAACGCCGCGTTCACGAACTCGGGCATGCAGCGCTGCGCCCGCCCGCTCCGCTCCTCCGCGCACTCGTCCATGGCAGCGCCGCAGCGCGCGGGCACCCACAGCCACAGCACCCACAGCCACAGCGCCCAGCGCTCGCCGCCGCCCCCCATGGCCGGGCAGCGGGAGCCGGCGGGGGCACGGAGGGGGCTCGCTCGCTCGCCGGGTGCCACCGCTCCGCGCCGGCCGCGGGCTGAGACGGGCGAGGCCCGGCGGGGCGAGGCGAGGCGGGGCGGGGCGGGCGCGGAGCAGGCCGGGAGCGGAGTCCCGCGGCGCAGCAGGGCTGGAGCTGCCCCCGCCTCGCGGAATGTGCCGGCTTAAAGCGGCGATGGCGGCTGTGGGCCCGCTCCCTTGGACGGCCAGGGTTTGGCCCTCGCCCTCATGCGTGTGACCGCGGCAGAGCGCCGGGCCTGGCAGCGCCTCCGCACCGGCACACCCCGCAAAGCTGCGCCTTTTACACAATCACAGAATCGCTGGGTTGGAAAAAACCTCCAGGATCATCGAGTGCCACCTTTCAGCGATCCCTGCCTTGTCAACCAGACCAGAGCCCTGAATGCCACTCCAGTCGTTCCCTGGACACCTCCAGGGATGGGGACTCAGCAGCCCCTTCCACTGTCTAATCACACTTTCTGTGAAGAAATTCTTCCTAATGTTCAACCTGAACCTCCCCTGCTCGGCTTAGGACTCTCGTCCTTATGTCCTCTCGTCCTGTCACTTGTTTACTGGGATAAGACGCCGACCCCCCCCGGCTGTCCCCTCCTGTCAGGGAGTTGTGCAGAGCCACAAGGACCCCCAAGCCTCCTTTTCTCCAGGCTGAGCCCCTTTCCAGCTCCCTCAGACGCTCCTGGTGCTCCAACCCCTTCCCCAGCTCTGTTCCCTTCCCTGGACACACTCCAGCCCCCCAAGGTCCTTCCTGAACCGAGGGGCCCAAAAGTGGACACAGCTCTCAACATTGCGGCTGTAGGGAAGGAATCACTTCCCAGGTTCTGCTGGTCTCACTGCTTCTGATTCCAGGTGCCGCTGGCCTTCCTGCCCACCTAGGCACACACTGGCTCGTGTTCAGCCAGCTGTCCACCACCACCACCAGGTCCTTTTTTTCATTTAAATGTTTAAAAAGTTTCTTGAGAAATGCAAGAAAACTGGTTGTGGGTTCCCAGCTAAGCTATGCCAAACCCGGATGGTTTGTGCCATCCAAGGACATGATCCTAAGCAGATCTGAGAGCTACTGTAGTGTGTACAGCACCTCAGCTACTGTAATTTTTCATAAACTTTTGGTTGTTTCCCTACCATGATCCAGATCTCTCTGTTGCTTAGAGGCATCAGCTCTGCCAGACCTGGCCATAGACTGCATTACAGTTTTTAGCTATCCTAAGATCTCCCCACAACTTTTCAGGTTGAGGAATTGTGTAAAGATTGTGTAATATCCAGAAATCCTGTAAAGCCAAAATGTCTCTGCCCATGGCAGGAAGTTAGACTTGATGACCCTTAATAGGTCTCTTCCAACCCAAGCCATTCTGTGAATCTATAAAACTGCTTTTACAGGAGAAAGTGCCTCCAGAAGCCTTCTCAGTAAACAGGAAACTCCTTGAGAAAAAATTGATAGGGGAGTCAAGGAAAGGCCTTGTAAACTTGGTTATATCCCGAGAAAGCCTGAATGCAGCCTGTGGCTGAAAGAACTGAAAAAATACAGTCTGTTCTGGGAAAAAATGCACATTGTTGTTTTAAAGTAAACACGTGTATCCTACAGAAATCCTTGCATTAAGAGCCTGAGCCAGGCTGTTCACAGGGTCTGCACAGCACACACTGGTCACCACGCCTGGAAATTCTCCTGCTGCTGGGAGCTGTTTTTCCATGTGTGGCTGTTTTTACACATCAGTGGGGTGATTCCTCTTGCTGCCTCCCCACAGAGCTGTTGTGAGAATGTCTGTGCTGAGGGTTCCCCTGCACCCCCAGAACACAGGCAGTGCAGCACAGTCACCGCTGCCCCGCTATTGTTCAGGCTGGGATGACACATCTCCAGTGGAAAGTTGGATTTCCGCTGCTTCCCCCACTTTTCCTCCCTTTCTGAAAACAAGCCGTGTGTTGTGAAAGCAGCACTGAGCTGATGCCATCAGGGCAGGAGCTCTGAAAACAACGTGCTGATGGAGCTCCTCAGGTGCAGCAGCAGCCTGGTGGTGCCTGCAGCTCAGGGTGCACACAGCAGGATGGGCAGCAAGGAAGGCACAGGGAACAAGGCTTAGGGAAGAAGGGAAGGATTAGGATAGAGGTGAGAAGGGGGCAGGGACTCCGAGCAGGATCAAAGGGTGTTGCCACAAATCCCTATCAGGGATGCAATGAGATCATCTGTCTATATGCAGAAGGTTCCCATAGATAATGGAAAAAACTCAGCTTCACACAACATTCTTGGGTTTAGAGATAGTCAGTCTTAGTACCTAAACCAAGTAACTTACTTGGGTTTTTAACTATTCACTTTCCAACATTTTAAAGTACCTGTATAGGACCATGCTCCACAATTTATTTAAAGTACTCCCTGACATTTTAATGGTACTGATTGTAATAAATCCTGCCAAAGAGGTATGTGCTGATATTTACTATTTGCTATCAAAATCCAGTACATACTCTTAATGCAGTATCACCTTAAAACACTGACAGATCAAGTGATGCAGTTATATTTCATTCAGTAAACCTACACTCATTTAACTGAAACCAGAATTAATCTCATATCCCTGTGGAGACATGATTTGTGCTTTCCTTTTCCTTTTTTACCTCCTGAAATTATCTATCAAAGCATTGTGACATATTCCCCTTAAACCCATTTTCTTCCCAACACAGAAAAAACCACAGATGTTTTACACACATCCTTGTGTAAATAACTGCACCTTAAAAGCACAGAACCTAAAGAACTTCTGTGACTTTGCAATGCTTACAGGGTGAATAATATTAAAAATACATTGGTAAATAAATTGTTACAGCTGGCAACACCCCTGATGCAGAGTGAGTCATCCTGTGTGGCAGAAGTGGCCCGGAAGGAAGTGACATGCTATTTCATAGGATGGACACCTATCACAGTTAACCAGCTGTAAAACAAGAATATTTGTGGATAAGGTTCATGACTGTGCTGGGCTCAGACACACACATGGACTGTAAGGTAATTGTTACTGTAAGTTAGTTGTCTAAATGGGTATGTTCTTACTTCAGTTCTTTTCTGACATATACATATTGGTTAAATGATTGAGAAAAAGTGGGGAGAGACTAAGAACAAAGAGAAGAATTGCAAAAAAAGGAAAAGCAACATAAAAACCTGATAGGAAACAGCTTTTATAAAGGCAACTCCTACAGGAAATTGTGTCAGCTCTCAGAAGGCCAGAACTTCCAAGGCTGGCAGTCTCCCTCTTAGAATAGACCCTTTTAGGAAAAAGAAAAAAAAAAGGGAGAAAATGAAAAGCAGTGTTTTCTTTCCTTTTGATAAAAAAATAAATTGCAACAATGTTATGTGTGCCCAAAAGCAAGTTGAAATAATTAATTAGGAGCACTGTTGGCCTCTCCTTCTACAGGAGCTCAAAACAAGTGCTAGCACACCTATGCACCAAGATATTTGACCCCTTTGGGGCTTAGGAGGTCCAGAATGTTTTTCACAAGAGTCACAGGGCAGCACTCATTTTAATTTTCACTTTTCCCATACTGATTTAGTGTCAGCATTTGTACAAGGACAACATGTGTGCAGATAGGAAAGGAAAATGCTAAAAAACCCCATAAATTTCAGACTGTGATAGCAGATATTGGGTGTTCCATGTCTGTCAATTATTAAAACACGTAAGAGTAATGCCCACAGAGAAAAAAGCCCCTTCTTTTGCTAATAAAAGTAAATAGATAGTTTTAGGATCCCCAAATTAAAACTGTTGTACACCGCAACATTTCATTACCAGTAGATGTCAATTTACACTAAAAACCGAAGGACAGAAAAGCCCCATGCTCACCATCAGCCTCATACAGTTATCAGCCAGTGGAGGAGCCACCCAAGCAAGTTTAGGAAATGTCACTTGTCATAATCTGGCTGGTTTGGGCAATAGGAGAAGTTTCCAGCAGCTTCCTGCCCTGCTCTCTGTCATGCAGGGGGCTTCCCGCTGGCCCCAGCACTTTTCTTGGCAGACCCAATAAAAACAACAGTAATCACAGCAGACAGCCACCCCCTGGCCACCAAACAGCCAAAAGGACTTAAAAGAAAGCAAGTGAGTCAGCAGATCCACCAAAGAGTTGGTGAGGATGACTCAAAACTCAGAAAGGCTGGGTGACAATTCAGTTGCTTTTACAGGTAGGTGGATGCAAAAAGAAACCTCTCTGCAGTCTCCAGTAGTGCCCTGGGGACTAACACAGCACAGGATTGATGTCACAGTGTATGAGATACACAATTTTATATTCAAGTAAGTCTTAAAGCCATCCTGCTTAGGAGAAATTCTTCCACAATGAAGGACAGGTGTGAAAGGAATGTGAATTTTTTTTTGTAAATGGCTCAAGGTAGTCACAATCAGTACAAATACAGAATAAGTCAGACAACTATACTAGTTACTAAATATTCATATCTCATCATGATTTTATGGAAGCAGAAAGTTAATCTTATTAATAGAACTGAAAACCAGAGCTATTAGCCATACAAGCAGAAGGTGTTTCATAAAATGATTTGTTTATTTAGGATTGACTTTCTTCATCACTCTTTTGCAGAATGTCCTAAATAATCTTGTACAGCAACTGTGGGTAGTTGCTGTAAAGGTGAATAAAAATATATCTCTGAATCTGTTCACGTGAGGTAAGCTCCTTCTTGACAAGTTTCTGCAAACCCTGGAGAAATAAAAGATATAAGTGGAAAATGTTACCTCTTTTCTCAAGTGAGTCTGGGATGTAGCCTCATTTTTTCTTCTTGATACTGGTAATGTTGGGGAAAAAATGTGCTAAAACAAAAATAAAACATGAAAGGCCTGTGCAGCTTTCTATCTTCCTATTGTAGATTCAAGCACAGCTCATCCTTTTAACTATTCTCATGTATATAAATTGAATTTGTAATCTTTTATTCCTAGCAGATAAGATTTGTATATTTTATCTTTACTCCCTGCTTTTATTCTGCCGTGTACCCCGTGTGGAATTTAATCAAACACATCTTGCAATCTACATTAGACCGTGGCAGTAACATCAGGAGCCAACCCAAACTATACTCCCATCCCCTCTTTGAGCTCTCCCCTTGCCTGTCCCACACCTTTCCCATGGAGAAGGAGACATGCATGGATAGGTGTGTTCAGCCTTGAAACATCCAGTGGATCTCTTGGAGAAGAGATGTTCCTCAGCATTTCTTTTCCCTTCCCTTCTCACTCCCATTCTCAGACAGTACACCAGCACTGCATGGATGAAAATGCACCAGGGGACTTCATTAGATTTATTTCTGTATGGTATTAAATTTATAGTATAAAGACACTAAATTCTCTCAGAATTTAGCCACCATCATCCTTGCACTGCAGGGTCTGCTGATGGATTCTCTGCCACAAAAAATTCCAGCAATATTTAGGTTTCCAACATGCCAATGAAGTTTGCTTTGTAAAGAGCAGGACACATTCACCCTAATCCATTTGGATAATGCCTGTGTCCTGTTCTTCACCAACTTGCTTGGCTACACAAATCCTTCGAGTACATGAGCTGGGCCTGTTTACACTACACCAAACATTCTCAGTGAAGCTATCTTCCAAGCCTGATAAAATGCATCCCAGAAAGTGGGGTGTGTGTTGGAGGTGGTCATGCAATCTCACCATGTAGGGTGCATGACCACAGTGAGGTTGTTTAACAACTTCCTGGCTTTCCAAGCAGAATTCCCAAGATTGTTTCAATAGAAAGCTGGCTAACTTCATTTGCCAAGTAACAACAGGGATGAAATTTCCATCCCAGTCAGTTCTTCATAATTTATGGTCACAGCCTGTCTTTTCATGGCATCATCTGCCAATCAGTCGTGCCATGACTATAATTTCATTACCAGGGAATTGTGATGTTCTATCATTTGTAAAACCCTTTGTTTCCTCATATATGATGGCTCTTGAGAGTAACCTTGTTTCAAGTGTCTCCCTCATTACAAGAGCTCACCTTTGCAGTCTGGTGTACTTTAAGCCTAGTTTTCATGAACTTTCCTTTGCTTTTCAAAAACAAAAGAAAAAAAAACAGTCTCTGAGAAACTCCATCTTATTTTAGATTTTTTTTTTCCTGTAAAAAACCTGTAATGCCTTGTCTACTTTATGCTCTTAGCCTAAGATCCCTCTTAGCCTTTGGACTCCTATGATTAATGACTCTTAGCCAAGGTCAGCTCAATCATCTAATAGAGGAGCCATTCAAGGAGACATTCAAGGTCAGTCTGGACAGGGCTCTGAAACATTTGATCTAGTGGACAGTGTCCCTTCTCACTGCAGGGGGGTGGACTAGATGACCTTAAAGTTCTTTTCCAACTGCAGCCACCCTGTGCTTCTCTGACAGTCGATGGAGAAATCCAGTCTTTTCAACAACCAGCTTTGAATGAGCAGAGCTCCTATTTCTCCTGCTAAATAAATGGTTTGTCTTGACAAGCAGGCTGCAGTTTGGTTTGCTCTTCTGCCAGAAGAGTTAAACCTGGATGTCCACCTGGAGGCTGGGAACACTAGATGTAATTTTGGGATCTGGAGATCACTGATCTGTGCCAGCTGCTTGTCCCTCCCCACATATCTCCACGATTTGTCTGTGCTCCCACATGGACTAAGGCAGAGCTGCTTCCCTGACACATGACAGGAAGGATACAGTGAAGGGTGAGCAGCTTCAAGGAATCTGACCTAGAGGGCTGCTTTTGGGACACACACCCATGTACTTGGCTGTCTGTCAGCATGTGCCAGTTCTAGTCTTGGTACCCCCAGCTCACTATGTCCTCCCCTGCATTGCTCTCAGACAATTAGCAGTTGAGAGGACAGCAGAGACATTCTCTCAACTCAAAGCCCCCATGCCACCAAGACTAAATAGACAAAAGAAGCCATTGAGGGAAAATCTGTCTGGGCTCTGTAGCCAAGAGCCAAAATGAAAAAAAAAATACTTGGAATGAACAGAATCTTCTTAAAATATAGCTATTAGCTCTACAGAGTCTTTGCAAAGCTACAGAGCATACATGAACTGCAATTTTCAGAGGTTTCTAACTCAGCCATCCTTAGGTAGATGCTTGCAAGAACACTGAAAGCTTACTCTTCACATCAATACCATCCCCATGTCAAATGGCCATTCAGATCAAACAGAGTCACCGTGAAATATGTGCAGTGGCTTAGATATAAATTGCACGTGCAAAATAAAAGAAAGCACTTAATTTACAATTAATCCCGATCCATAAGGCAGAATGTTGGAACCTCATCCATTGGGAGGAACTGAATCCCTGTTTCCTTCTGTACCCATAATTTTTTTTAATAACAGGAAGATTTTTCCTGCTGGTTTGAGGTATGCAAAATGCTGTTTAAACACTCACATGGCCACTTACAGATCATCAAAGCAAAGAGGAAAATCAAGATTGTTGGAAAGGAAATGATATTTTTAAACTCATCACTGCATACCATAAACAGTGGGAAAATGTATAAAATACTTTATAAATAGACTGTTTCCTGGTAAAGTATCTTTTTTTTTTTTAAAGTTCCACTACCAAACTACTTAAGCAGGAGATTTTAAAATTATTATTATTATTAAAATAAGAATTCAGTAGGCAAGAAAAATCACAGGGTTTATAGCTGTAGGCTGCATTTTGCTTTCTGGGAACCTCAGCATATTACCCACATTTTCATCCCTGACATTCAGTTCATGGAAATATCAGAGGAACAAAGTCAAGTGTTCAGCAAAATTGAATGGTTTTAAAGGGATGGGAAATTCTATACCCTGTATCCTGTTATTTACTTGTCAGATCTTTAAAGAATAGGAAATCTGTAGCTTCTGCAAGTGTTATTAATTTTTTCCATTTTGGAGCTCTGGAAAAATTTTACATCATGTGTTTAATTATATTAAAAGCAGAATATTTATTGTATTAAAAGCATCTGAGTAGATCAACTGCAACATTCATCTTTGATACAGTAAATTACCTCCAGCCCATTATTTTAAAATCACATGAAAAAGCAAAATCAAGATTTAGCATGTTGACTTATTAAACAATGAATTGTAATTGTTTGTGATAGAGTTAACTTACAATAAACACCAGGGGAGGTTGCAGAGGAGAACCTACCTCTTTCTAGAATGGCACTGTCAATCTCTTCTGCTCCTGTTTTCTCACAAAGATTCAGATTCCTGTCAGTGAAAGGTATTTTAAGTAGCATTGAATCAACATTGGAGATTTAGATACTATTTTAAATCCCAGAATGCTCTTTAAAATAGCATCTCACTGTGACTGCCCAGTGTTTTTTTAACCTAGAATGTAGTTTTTGTTGGACTACTTTTGACTTGAGTCATTCTCAAAACACATTTCACACCTCCCCATCAGCCAGTGGTTTGTGACAACCAAATTTTTGCCACCTGAACTGTTTGACTTCAAAGGTTAAGAAAACAAAAAGGCTCCAGAACATGAACATCTTTATGCAATAATAGATACCATACCATTGCTACCAATGTTTCAGTGCAACTCCCAGAGCTCCAAAATCATATTGGGATTTTATATGTGTTTGTCCTGCATTTTCCTATAGTTAAAATTAAGAAATTTCCCCAGGTGTGCCCATGAGCAGGGAAGGCTGCCATATTGAATGTTATTGATTTAGCTGACACCACCAGATAACAACTGTATTCATTTTATACCCTTGCTTGATGGCTTTATAAATCCACAGAAATATTCATCTTCTTCCTATTTTGCTGAACTACCCGTATTTATTCTCACAATGAAGTTGATCACATAACAGATAAATTTGATTTAATGAGTTTTTCCAGAAAAACTCTCAGGGTGGCTCCCTTCCAATTAATTTACACAAATAAAAATGTAGTTCCCCACACAGTACTTGAAGGCATCATAAGCTTCCAGGCAATCGCCAAGAGTTCTTTTCAGCTCACCTAAATTTAGGAAGTGTCCAAGGCCAGGCTGGATGGGCTGGGAGCAACCTGGTCTACTAGAAGGTGTCCCTGTCCATGGCAGGGGGTGGAACAAGATGAGCTTTAAGGGCCTTTCCACCCCAAACCATTCAAGGATTATATGATTGTATTACAATATTTAAAGTTTTCTTTATTTTGTTTTTGCCCCACCTCGTGTTTATGTCTCCCAGTCATTCTTTGCTGTTCCTCAATATGAGACCACAAGCCCCAAGGGAGCTAAGCAGCAGGAGACTTTGCTGGTTTGTTAACCTGTAAAACTCAGGCTGGAAAGCTTTTGCTCATTTTCACCCCATCTCCAGCTCACCTGTGGACAAGTACAGTCACCTCCAGTTTTAAGAAATTCAGTTTCTCAGGACAAGAGGCAACAACAACCATTCCCTAACTGGAAGCCATCTGGCCAGGTCCCAATTTACCAACATCTGGCTTTCCAGAGAAAACAAAATGAACAACACAGCACAAAGGGATGGCACATGACTTTGTTAGTCCCTTGAAGTATGCAGCAGATATTTGGCATTTTTCTTATATTTAACCCAAGTATCTCACTCACATTCCCTTCCAGGTCACAGTTGGGATAGCAGATGTTCTCCCAGTGTGTTACTCCCTCTGCATCCTGTGGTGGGGATTGCCAATTTAGATACTTTGTTACCACTTTGAACTCTCTCCAAATTTTTAACAGTGTAAAAATGCTGGATGTGAGATTTGGGTACAATTTAGAAGTAATCTTTTCATTTGGATTCACAGAAATAATATAAATGGTTTTTATACAAATGTCTTTGCAGCCACTATATGTTCAGGTCTTTTTCTTCCCTTATTTATTTACAGTTATTTCTAAGCCCTTTTCAGAGAATGCTTTCTGAAGATGTGGTTTTACTAACCTTGCTTTCTGACAAAGATCACTGACATTTACAAACCAGACCTGAGTCTGTATTTAAGTTCACAGTAGCTCCTCCTCCATGGGTCTGTGCTGGAGAGTCTCTACTCAGTTTAAAGGTCACCTTACTGAGGCTGAACCTGGAAATCTTCAGTCCAAAAGCAAAGGCTCCATGGAAGCTGGAAGCAAAGTAAGTTACATAATGTGGGAAAAAGCCAAGTTACTTGCATTGTTTAGACAGCTTTGGATAGATGAAGTCGTGGGCAATGAGAAAATGAGCCATCCTTTAAAAAGTAAATGCACAAACCAGCATTTCAATGCTCTTTGTTGTCCACTTCTAGACGTTGGTTACTATGGCTACCTGACGCAGACATTCTTTTTCATGTATATTTTTTAATACTTCTGAGTCTGGGCAAGTATTCTACCTGGAAAGAACTGCAGAAGGATAAGGTGCTGTTCTCACAAGTGCTAATTTTTGGTTTACATTACAGACCATTCATCTAAGTAGCTTTGTGAGCTGAATCACAAGACCATACAGCTATGTCCAGCTCTCTGGTTCTTCATATGCCTGGAAATGTTCATGTCACATTGCTCAGAAACTTCTTTGGCTCAGCTGACCTCATGCAGAAATATCTATCAGAAATATCTATCAGAAATATCTATCTTGTAGATAGATAATACAGTCTTGGCTGTACAGAAATCTCTGACCTTACTCTCCTCACTCCAGCTGTGTTTCTGCTTCCCACCTTGCTCTTGTTATTCCACAGGCAACTGTTCCATGTTGTTTTAGTATTCTCCATGCATGGCATTTTTAAGGCTATAGCAATTTATCTCAAGAGCTGACAGGACATTTTAAAACATCTTTTCGGTCAAAAATATTAAGTAGGCAACATTGGCATGGATCCTGATGGATCTCATGATTGAGAGCCAGTCAGGGAGATAAAGGTTGTTGTAACATTGGCTTTGTCCCAGTGATAAATTTAAAGTGACAGTTTAAAGTGACTTTACAGTCACTTAAGGTGACACAATCAGTCTGAATCCCAGACATGTTTCTCTGGGGAAAAAACCAACTAAATTGTTTTAAAACTTTGTTGAGTGCATGTGACAGCGAACACTCAAACACAAAACTTCTGAGTTTTGAAAAAATTATTCTTGGATTTTGTCCTGAGTGAGGGAAGAAGAAGAAATCTTAGTCTGAAGGTCTTGAGTCTGCAAACCTGAAAATGCTTTCACATTCAGCTGTTGATTTGTTTTGCTCATTGGTGCTGCACCCTTTGAATAAAGATTATCAAACAGCTGCCTGAAACTTTTAAGCTGTTTCTGCTCAGAGTTTGGTTTTGTTTTTCTCTTTGTTATATGTTATAGCCAGGTTAAAAAATTGCACAACCTCACAGCAGAGCAGGTGAGGGCCCTACAGAACCCTCTACTCACCTGTTTAATGGAGAGGTGTTGGTGTTTTGGGGAAAACTGATACAGAGATTTGCTCTGATTCTCCCATTGTCTGGTGATGATTATGATCCTCAGCAGTCATTACCATGTGCAGAGAAATATCTTTCTGCATGATTTATTCTGATTTCTATCAAACCATGTGTGTTGCATGTTCAATTTTTACCTACTATCCATGTCCTGGTGTAGATGCTTTGTGAACCATTACCATGGGCATTCCTATTGAAAACAAGGAAAAGTCTTTGGAAGCAAAGTTATCTTTGTTTATATAACAATGGTATCTTCTATAATTGATAAACTAACTCTTTGTTATGTGTTATAGCCAGGTTAAAAAATTGCACAACCTCACAGCAGAGCAGGTGAGGGCCCTACAGAACCCTCTACTCACCTGTTTAATGGAGAGGTGTTGGTGTTTTGGGGAAAACTGATACAGAGATTTGCTCTGATTCTCCCATTGTCTGGTGATGATTATGATCCTCAGCAGTCATTACCATGTGCAGAGAAATATCTTTCTGCATGATTTATCCTGATTTCTATCAAACCAATATCAATGTGTGTTGCATGTTCAATTTTTACCTACTATCCATGTCCTGGTGTAGATGCTTTGTGAACCATTACCATGGGCATTCCTATTGAAAACAAGGAAAAGTCTTTGGAAGCAAAGTTATCTTTGTTTATATAACAATGGTATCTTCTATAATTGATACACTAGAGATGTTCCTGAGGCTCACATCTCCAGTGCTTCTCCTAGCATAGGAAAGTTTCAAGTTCCTTAGGAAGCCCTTGGAAGTGTACTGCTGGTCTCTGCTGTGGGCAGAATTGGTGCAAGATGAAGATGCTGACCCACTGCTGGCTATTTTTGGTTTGTTCTTTCTGGTCAGCATGGCTTAGCCCCTCAGCTTCATTGCCCTTGCTCACCTTTACCAGCACAGCAGGGCCACTGTGCTGCTGCTGGGCTCATACAGGAGCATCTCTCCCATATGACTGCACAGAACTGGTCTCTACAGACACAAGGGTGATATTTTTTACCCCCTCTTCTTTCTTTCTCCTCTTGTGGCAGACTGCTGCCACGCCCAAAGGATGAGCAAAGCCAAATTCCATTCCTGAGGCATTGCTGAGCTTCCTGTGAGCAGCCTGCCAGCTCCACTAGCCAAAGCAAATGTCTGCACTAGCCATAAGGGAGGGGGATGAACCATTTCATGGCAGCTGTAAAAGGTCACGGAGCAAACACCTGCGCTGCTGCTCATCTGCTCTCCCAGTGATCCAAGCAGCTTGGATGTGTGAGTTGTTTGCATGAGAGTCACTGATTCAAAGCTCTCTCCTGGCTTTGTGAGGTTCACATTACAAATTAGAGAATTAGCAAAATTTTGTTCATTCATTTGGGGTTGTTCTGTCCAGTGGGAGACTGGTTATTCTGTTTGAGATGGGTCTCAAAACCTGTAACACTTGAAAACTTTTGTCTGATTATACACATTCTGCCTTTCCTGCATAAATCTGTGCAAGCCCCGGGGCTTCTGGGTTTCTTTGTTTATAAGCATGGGGACATTCCAGGAGATTATAAATATCTGGAAGTCTAAAGTTGTGTCACATTCAGGGATGTACTAGAAAACTTCTCATTTGGCTTCTCCTAAGAGCAGCAGTTTCCATTGCTGTGCTTAATTTTTATATTACGAGTTTAGCAGGCCTTTTCTTCTGCTTCCACAGTGGGCTTTGCAGAGAGTTCACAGGTTCTCACTTCCTTCAGCTTTATCTCTGCAGGGATGTATTTGGGAGATGCCTTGGAACAGCTAATAATGTGACTGGATCTCAAATTTTTCTCTTTAAGAGAGTTTTGCTCATTTTGTGTGTAACTGACTGTGTTCTGCTGGTCATGGAAGGTGTCCATGCCCATGGCAGGAGGTGGAATGGAATGATCTCTAAAGTCCCTTCCAACCTAAACCAGCTCTGTGATTCTGTGATTTATAACTGGACCTTTGGGAGGTGGAATGGAATGATCTCTAAAGTCCCTTCCAACCTAAACCAGCTCTGTGATTTATAACTGGACCTTTGACTTCCTGTTCTCCATCCATAGGTAGGAATTTTGGCCATCATTATAGCAATAGAGTCACATGACTTTATATATTGATATAATTATTCTTTCTGCTCACCATAATGGAGATTTTCTGCACTTGCCTTCTTTGGAAAATGCACTGATGCAGTTGGGACAACTCTTACTCCCTTTCTCCCAAAACATCCAGATGGCTATGAATTCTTTTAGTAGAAAATAAGAGGAAAAGTGAGGAAATACACATCAAGCACTGACTATAGGTTAGGAGTTGAGATGTGCATGAAACCAGTAGTTATGGGGAAAAAAACCCCAGTTCTCCATGTATTTTCCAGTATAGTCTGTCTGAACATCTCTTTGCAGATGGCAGGAGGAAAACTTGGAATTCTATAACACAGTCTTGGTATCTAAAACCTCTTTGCAAAAGGAACTGACTGCAGGAAACAGGGTGGGGCAGATTTATAGATTGCTCTTAAATTGGAAACTTTTCTTTTTTTTTTTTTAAAGTTGCTCAAATATAGGAAGTCATGCTCAACTTTGTGAGGTGAAAGATTTTCCCGCAGACCCTCCATTTCTGCAACATAATTTGAATGTGGCTTTAGTAAGTGGCACAGTGGAGACCATGAGGTCATTTTCCCAGGGGAATGTGAGGCTGTAAACTTATCCCTGTTAACTAAACACATTCTCATTGGGCCTTGGTATTATGTTCTCTTCTAATTTACCTTTATGAACCATAGCTCAACACAGTCCTGATTAATGGTTCTCAGCACATGATAGAGAACTATTAAGTTTCCCAGGGCTTTTAATGGGATTAAAAACTTTCAGTGAGAAAATAAACAGCAGAGGAGAGTTTCTTAGCTACTGCCTAGGCAAAAAATACTTCTGTTAGAATTCAGAGAACAGGAATTCAGTGACAAATCTGTTTCAAATAACAGATACTAACATTAACATCAAATAACATTAACTAACATTAACTTTTTTACCAGTTCTTGAAAGCAACATGAAATTAGAATCTTAGATTATTTAACAAATAATCTGTTTATGACCATGTTTGAACTGACAAAGTGCTTCCAGACAGCCATTTCCAGAACTTTTCCCATCAAAGCTGCAGGTGAGCAGGCCAGTTCCAGATTTAGAGGGGTCATCTCAAACATATGGCTTTCAGACATAAATAAAGCCTCATGATCTTTCATGCTAAGCCACTCACCTTGGTCGAGTTGTACCTGTGACATTAGCTTTCCTCTGGCTGGCACTCCTCACTCTTTTGATTTGGAGGCAGAAAAAACAGATCAGTTAGTGAGTTGCAAGCCTAATTTTCAAGATAAAAATTCAAATAACTGTCAAGTGTTATTCTTCAAATTATGGTTGTGAGGCTATTGTTAATATTTCTTTTCTCCTCTTCCACTTGGAACTGGAAAACCAGAAGAAATCATTATTGTTTCCAAATCCCCTTATAAGAACTCTGTGATATCAAAAGCCAAAAATATTTGATATATGTGATATACAAACCCAAGATGCCTCAGGTGGGTGCAGCAGAGAGCAGTCAACGGCACCGTGGCTCAGGCAGTCCTTTCTTCTTGAATTTCAGTAATTCAGTATGTTGCTCAAGACTCATAGTGCTCTGACACTCTGGGTTTCTGAAGCGAAACACAGATCCATGCACTGGCACAGTAAACTCACTGCTGGCTCTGTCTCTACTGGGAAAATGTACATGTCATTTCAGGTTAATTTTCAGTCTTCTGTATCCCGGCTGCTTAAGCTCCTCATTAGCATGTCAATCCCTGTTTAGATTGTGCCATTCATCAAGTGCAGGCAAGGATTATTGCTTCCCCACTTAACTGGCCATGATGGATTAGATATTAAAAACCAGACTGAATGTTGTTAAGCAGTACTTTCATGTTCAACACTCCTTAATATGTAAAGCACTAAGCACATAAATAAAACCACAACTTGTCATTTGTAGATTCTAAGAAGTCCATGACTCCTTCTCCCTTCACAACCTGCAGCTGAGCTCCCAGGCACACTTTCACTTTTTTCAACACCTGGCTGTTCCCTTAAGAGCTCATTAACTTTTCTGCCAGTTCTTGAAAGCAACATGAAATTAGAATCATAGAGTATCCTGAGCTGGAAGGAACCCACAATGATCACTGAGCCAAATTCCTGGCTTTGCACAGGAATCACATAAATTAGATCTTTATGTGAAT